TACTAACAGGCCTATAGTTGCTTACATCAAACCTACTATTTTTCTTGAAGATAGGAGTAACTCTGGTCTCCTTGAACCCATCTGGTATGGTATTAGTGGTGATTGATAGATTTATTATGTGAGCAATAGGGATTGACAGTTCAGAAGCACCATCTTTTAGGAACTTAGACAGGATGTTATTCTGGCCAGTGCTCTTAGTTGGGTTTAACCTGCTTAGTTCTTTTTGAATAAAGTCATGAGATACACTTACTAGTTGACAACTGTTTGGGGTTACCCCTTTATTGGTATAGTATGTTTGAAACTTATCAGAGTCTGTGTTCAAGGTATTTGATGCAGCTGGTAGTTTACTTGCTAGTGTTGATGCAACAGATGTGTAGAAGGAATTAAAGCAATTTGCCACTTTAGATGTTTCGTGGCATACCTCGTTATCGATAGTGAGTACAGTGGACCCCCGCATAACGATCACCTCCAAATGCGACCAATTATGCAAGTGTATTTATGTAAGTGCGTTTGTACATGTATGTTTGGGGGTCTGAAATGGACTAATCTACTTCACAATATTCCTTATGGGAATGAATTCGGTCAGTACTGGCACCTGAACATACTTCTGGAGTGAAAAAATATCGTTAACCGGGGGTCCACTGTACTATGTTATATCTATCTACTGGCTTATGGCTATACCCCAGCTGTTTTAGTTGTTGCCAGAGCTTTCTGGGGTTATGCTTATACTCTTCAATTTTTGAGCAATAAGTGCTTTGCCTTTGCTCCTTTTATAAGTCTCTGCACTCTGTTCCTCACCCTTTGGAATTCATTTAGTGCTGCAATATCCTGTCTGTTTGCTTTAAATCTTTTTAGCACCTGGTCTCTGAATTTCTTATTATCTAATATCTCAGTAGTCATCCAGGGTTCAGTTCTCTGTTTAATCCTAACCTCTTTAACTGGTACAATATTATCAAGGATGGTAGTGAACATTGTTTTGAATTTTTCCCAGGCATCATTTACGTCCGTACAACTTGTTATCTCTGTCCAGTCACAATTGTGTAGCCTATTTACCAGTGTTTCTTTACTGTAGTTTCTAGTTGACCTCATTTTATTGTCCTGTGTAGGCCTATCCTATCCCTAGTGATTTTCCTGGTGCAGTAAATGATGAAATGATCACTAAGACCTGTGGTAATGACACCTGACTGACTAATGTTCTCAGAGCGGTTGCAAAGTATGTGGTCAATTAGGGTGGCTGAGAACTGTGTGATCCGGGTTGGTGTATTAATTAGTTGAGTGTAACTATTTAAACCTAGAATTTGCTTATACCTTTTGCATAGCCCGTTATTTTGCTGCTGAAAACAGATATTGAAGTCGCCCAGTATTATTGTCTCGCAATTGTTTTCAAGTCTGGACAATACTCTGGAAAAGTCTTCTAAGAACTGGTCCTGGGTAGGAGGGCAGTAACTAGTTCCTACTAAGATGGGTTTGGTCTTGGGAAGCAGCACTTCAAACCATAGAATCTCCAGTTTATTGTTATTTAAATCAGGTCTTGGGTTGTAAGCTAAGTCATTTCTAATGTAGGCACATACTCCACCACCCTTTCTGTTCCTATCTAAGCGTTTTATATTGTAACCTTCTATTTTGACCTCATCGTCAGTCACCGTATCATCCAACCAGGATTCAGAGATGGTTATAACTGCCACCCTAATTTTGTTAGTTAGAATCCTAATCTCTGCCAATTTAGGAAGAAGTGATCTTGCATTGACATGAATAAAATGAAGGCCTATTTTCATAAAACAATTATAATCATCAATATATGGCAATGGGTCATATGTATTAAAATTAGGTAAATCAATGTCATCATTGCTAAAGGGTAACTGTGCCAAACTGCATTTGTTACACACAAAGTGAATTCTGGCACCTTTACTATAATTGTACATACATCCATCATACACTCACCCCTTACACATTTTACATAAGGTGCCTTTTCTGTTTTTCATGTGTACTTTAGTACAGTGTATGCACCTGTTTGGTAGTGTTTGAGATAATAATGGCTGTATTGTCTCACATTGACATACAGTGGACCCCCGCATAACGATTACCTCCGAATGCGACAAATTATGTAAGTGTATTTATGTAAGTGCGTTTGTACGCGTATGTTTGGGGGTCTGAAATGGACTAATCTACTTCACAATATTTCTTATGGGAACAAATTCGGTCAGTACTGGCACCTGAACATACTTCTGGAGTGAAAAAATATCGTTAACCGGGGGTCCACTGTATGTATGCATTACATATGGAGTTAAGGTTATCATTCCTAGCTACTAGACCGTCATTATCACTGTCATTTATCTCTCTGTTTTGCCTCTGGACAATAGTTTGAGGTCCTGGATTAATTTGGATATCACCACTTAAGAGCGCTACAATAAGAGCTGTGTGCCACTGTTTTTGTTTGGGTATGCGGTGTTGCCATACCTTGCGGTGATAGTGACATTTACTTTTCTGGTAGGATGGCAACTGTTGGGCTTTTACTGTCCAGGGCGCTGTCATGATGTTTGGTTAAGTATGGGTGTGGTATTTTGAGTAAGTTTTAGGCCATAGGTTGTTTTATTGATTTTGTTTGTACTCTCATGATATTACCTGTAAGGCTCTAGTATGTGGTGGGGCCTGTTTAAGTTTTGGAGAGTACAGATAATAAGTGTTTATTGCCTGCAGGCTAATAGGCTGGGGGGAAGGGTCATGGATCCCCAATGTTTGCATATGTTGTAAAGTGAAATAACTAGTAACAGTGAGTTTTGGTAATCTTTTGTAATAATAATGTGGCCTAAAGTGAGTACAATAGGCCCCCACTTATACGGGAGGTTGGGTTCCAGGCTACTGCTGGAAAGCAGAACGCCATTTTTTTCCACTTATAAATGCACATAAATGCCAGACAAGAAGTTTACACTAACTTGTATTAAGTTAATAATAGAACTAAGCATTAAAAAGCACAATAAAAAGTAAAATACATACACAGTACATTCATTACTTACCTCAAAAATATTTGAAGTCTTAATGTAGGGCGAGAGGTGAGTAGTACTTATTTGTACGAAGTAAGGTGTAAGTAGCCCTGGCTCCCCATCCCAAACTTAACATACAATATTTAAAGCAGCCCAGAGATAAAATACACATACAGTACACTCATTATTTACCTTAAAATATGTGTAGTCTTAATGTAGGATGAGAGGTTGAGTAGTATTTATTTGTAGGAAGTCACATGTAGGTAGCCAGTAGATGCAACTATGTAGTCAGCCTGGCTACACAGCTGCACTTACCTACCTACATAGCTACATGAAATTTGATGCAGCCCAGAGCCATATTATTACCACCGACATATCTTGTTCACGGTATTTAATTGTTTCTAACAACTACCTTGAGATGCCATCATAAACAAAGGGAGAAGTAATGAATGATTCATGCCGAGAATTGTAAACAAAAGCGTTATGTGTTAAGGGGAGTGACTAGGCCATAGCAGATTCATACACTTTTTCTCTGGTGCTGGACCAAAGAAAACAATGTTTTCCCTCCACACGACTACCACACCTCCATACCATGTTTATATGCTATGTAACGTGTTTCTTATATAATTTTGAAGCAAATTTCATAGATGGATTAATGAAAATGCCTATATTAACGTAAAATAAGACATTTAATGTGCCCAAGAGTGATTATTATTACGTACTATTATTACTATAGCGTTAAAACTAGAGCAACACTCTTAGTGATTCTAATGTGTACTTGCATGCCACCAGTATGTAAGTATATTTAGGTATAGGTACACAAATATAATTATCAAGGTAAATATAAAATATGCAATAACTTTAAAACACTTGAAATTTTGGAAAGTTTCCAGACATAATAGATGTGTGTGCTCAAGGAGAATGTAAACAAACTGGGTGAGGTGCACTGTATTAGAAAGACAGGGAGCCATATAGTATGTTTTGGGCATAATTTGAAATTGCTGTATTAGCAGAATGCCGTAAGGCGAAACGCCGTAAAGCAGGGCCCTACTGTACCTGGTAAAGGTGTACTGGTGTTTAGTAATTTTTTTTGTAATAGTGTTGTGTGTTGTAAATAGTCTGACTTAATAATAATACATGTATATTTTTGTATATGCTAGTTTATGTGCCCTTCCTGATAATAAATATAAGGTGAATTTATCTATCCTTTTGGACAGAGTATTGACCATCTAGTTAAAGCTTTTTGTGAAGAAACAAGTTTGGTGTATTTTAATATTTTAAATGCCCCTAGACAAGGTTTTTACCCCTAGGTGCCAGCATATATTTATGTAACATACTAAGGAAGTTATATTACACAAGGCAAAGTGACCCAAACAAACACACACAAACAAAAGTGACCAAAAGAAACAAACACACCATTTTTATATTATTTTATTAATGACAGGTAAGAGGTAGCCAAACCTTTGCTCCTGGCATTTTAGTCACCTTCTATGACATGAATGTAGGAAGGATTGTAACTAGCATTCTAACAGCATTACTACAATTGTAACTATAAGTAGGTACATGAAGTTTACACATGCATAAAATGCCTAGTTAAAACCAAATATACAATTCCTTCTCTGAGATTTTTCATTTTATCAGTATAGTGTAAATCATGCAATGACAACAGCATGCTAGACAAACTAAGCTTGTGTAACCTATAAACCATGCTTGATTATGAATAATAATAATAGTAATACAGTACTAAATATGCAATCAATACCTCTATCTGCAAACCACATGAAACTATTATATTCCTAGACACAGACACATTAGTTTAGCTACTAGTGAGGTAGTGCTTGCTATCAATGAGCAATGACAAGGGCAAGAGGGTGGGAACATTGTAATGCAGCACAATATTGACAAGGGGTCATCTCATATGGCAACATTCAGGAGGGGATCTTAAGTTGTTTAACATTCAGGAGGGTAAGATAAGCTCGAGACAGGCTAGCTGTTGTTCTGGTGGACTGCTGCTGTTACCTTTCGAACTCCCTGAGCCTCCATTTCCAGAAGAGGTGGAGGAGGATGAGGTCGTGGTGGCTTGGGGGAAGAGAGAAAACAGGGGAGGATGATTAAATTTTCCCCAACAAGGGAGCATTGTCAAGTACCAGCTAACACTGGCAGGTTGTTGCATGTCCAAGGGTATTTCAAAAATATAATAAGGCACTTAGGACAAGTACAAGGGACTAAGCAAAGATATAACTATTTCAAAGCAATATTAAATGTACTTTGGAGTAGTGAAAGTAATTCAATGGGCAGATACTTTACAAGTGAGAATACAAACTGGAAGACTGTATACCACAACATTTACATAATGTATATCAATATGGATCACTAATAGATCAACATGACAGATAAGCTAACTAATGTAGTTTGCAGCCTCCAATGGAATACAGAAAATGGTTATATCACTTAAGCCTGAATTTATCTCTATTTGACATACCAGTGCATTACTGTTCAAACTGAGAGTACAGTATCATAAATGAGCACTTTGGACAATGTTCTTCAGGTTTATGAGACAAAGCCATGAGAAATATGTAATATAATATCTAAAACAATTTAAGACTCTACTAATTACTTTTTCAGAGCAATTGTGAGTGAAGAAAACTGGGTTTCATTTTATTACTATATGTGTTGTATCTGTTATGTGGCTACTTCCCAACTATCATAAGATTGAAGAAATACTCCCTAACATCCCTGTAACTCTGATGAGTTACAGGGATGTTAGGCAGCTTTGTCCCCAGATTCCCATTTCTTTCCTCTCAAACATCCTGTCCCATTCTACCCTATCAATCTCCCAGAGTATTTTATGTTGTTTTTCCTGGCTCTTCTGTCCTCCAATGGCATTGCATTCAATTCTGTTAGCATCTCTTTGTATCTCGTATGCCTTAGCTCTGGAATTAGTCTCACTGCATACTTCTGGCCTTTTACCAGTTTCTTAACATTATTCCTCATCCATGGGTTCCACACTGGTGCTGTATACTAAAAGATGGGCCTGGAATGACTTTTTGTTGAGATTCCTGAAAGCCACTCTCAGATTTGCCAGGCTAACAGTAGCTGCAGAGGTTATTCAGTTGATGTAAGCCTCTGGCTATAAGATAAGGAACTATGCTTACTCCTAGGTCTTTCTCTCTGAGTAAGGTCTGCAGCCTCTGTCTTTCAAGTCTATACTCTGTATCTGATCTTCCGGCTCGTTCCCCAATCTTCCTAATTCTTGCATTTGCTGGGACTGAACTCAGGCAATATCTGACCAACCTCACAGTTTGTCTAGATCCATTTGCAGCCTTTCTCTATCCTCATATTTGTATTCTCTGCATTAGTTTATCATCAGCAGAGATGCATTTGACTCAATTCCATGTGGTATGTCATTCACATGAACCCAAATACACATACATGTACTTGATTCTTGTGGCACTCCACTTGTTACTTTTCCTCATTCTAACATCTCTTCCAAACAATCCCTCTTTACGTCCTTCCTGTAAGATACTTTTCATCCACTGCAGTACATTCTGTTCATCCTGCAAGTTTCTCAAATTTTCACCCATTTCATGTAGAGTACAGTAGCAAATAGTTTCTTGCAGTCTAAGAAAATGCAATCCACCTCTCTCTTTCCTGTCTCACTTCTATTATTTTGTCATACAATTACAAAAGATTGGTAGAACAATATTTACCATCTCTGAACCCATTAAGTGTACTCACCTATTTGTGGTTACAGAGGTCAAGTCTTAGATCCTGACCTTGCCTCTTGCTTGCCAGATTCACTTCCTCCTACTCTTGAGGGCCTTACTGTACCATCTCTTAACATCCTGGTGGCCCATCCATTTCTTCAACTTTAAGTTATGTCCCTGAGTTTGTTTCTCAGCTCTAAAACCGCCTGTCCCTTTCTACCCTATCAACTTCTCTGAGAATTTTGTATACTGTTTTCGTATCTAACTTGGCTCTTCTATCCTCCAATATCATTAGATTCAGTTCTAATAGTCTCTCATAGGCCAAGCTCCTTAACTCAGGAACAAGCCTTGTTACTTGTTACATACTTCTGCACTTTCTCCAGTTTCTTAACATGCCTGTTTAGGTGTGGGCTCCATACTGGTGCTATGTACTCCAAGATGGACCTGACATGTTACATAAGTGCCTGGAAAGACACTTTGTTGAGATTCCTGAAGGCCACTCTCCGGTTTGCCAGACAAGCATTGGCTGCAGATGATATTCAGTCGATTTGAACTTCTGGTAAAATGCTAGGCACTATGCTTACCCCTTGGGAAAGATGATGGGGGAGTGGGAGTTGGAGTAGAGAGTAAGTCTGTATGAATCGGTCAGTGAGTGAATGAATCAGTAAGCATTCTTGTTTGTTTGTTTTGTGCCTCACCAGCCATCTTCCACCAAGGTAACCCAGCAACAGGAAAAGCAATCACCATCATTCATTCAATCACTGTCTTGCCAAAAGTGTGCTGACCTCTCAATTCAGATGACCCTCTGACCAAATAGTTTTATTGAAGTGTCACAGAATACAACCCAATTTCTCCAATAAATTGCTCACTCCACTTACTGAGTTTTCATGAATTGCACTGATTTGAGGATCGTAATCTTTGCTACAGGTGACGACCTACTATACTTGCTTTTATATCCTCATCTGTATATGCTAGCAGCTAACTGATATGAAAATGTTCATAATGAACAAATATTACATATTGAACCTATTGTAAATATACAGCCTCTCTTCACCTAGCGACGTACTCGTTTACCGATGACTCAGACTTACAACGGGTCCTCTGACAGTATGCATACCTAGAAAATGTATACTAGAGCCGATTTCCTCTATTCTGTTTAATGCAATATACAGTACACTACTGTGTAAACATTTAAAAATATACTAGAAATGTTATAAATGGTGCAAAAGTGACATTAAAACCAAATCAAAGATGGTTGACACAAACCCACTACCATTACAGTATGCTCCTCACTTAGCAATGAATTCGTTTACCGACACGATCTTAGGAATGGAACTCCGTCGCTAAGTGAGGAGAGGCTGTATATAGAGTTAAGTCAATACATTGTATTGAAGTTAATTCTGGGATTGCTCTTCACCCATTGCCCAGCTCTAGCTCTATTGTTATATTCATGGGAGGCACTTGACCTGCAAATTATAAACACTTTGGAAACAAAAGGTCATCAGGTTTGATCCAAGGAAGCGGAGGGTAGCTCTAATTCCTTGGATCCAAAGCCAGTTCCATGAAGGGACTCAAGCTCTGTCATCCCTGCACAGTGGTTCTTGGATAATGCTGGTAGCAGTAACCTTAGGGTGACTTTGTAACTTTATCTAACTAGAGTAGGAAGGCATTGTATCGTACCAGGTGAATAGATTGTATAAAAATAGTGTTCTGTCCATCAACACTTGTTTTAACATGCCGTATACACTAGAAAAGTTACTAAGAAACAAATGGGATCGAAGGAAAGGGATGTTAAAGAAAACAGCAAGTAAAGGGCATAAACAAAGAGGAAAGTACATGGAACTAAGGAAGAGTGAAAAGTGAAGAGATGATAGAACAGCAGAGAAGTAAATGCTGAGAATAAAGAGGGGTAGGGGGAAATAAGAGGGAATGGGAGTAGGGCTTAAATGAGGACTGGGGAGAAAGACTGATAAGAGATGATGAAGGAACAAATAATATGTGAGAAGAGAGGCAGAGCTGTGTATGTAGAGAATTAGTGTCTTTCTTGGAAAAGTAATTTAGATTAAAATAAAGCAAGTGAACTTGGTGATCCAATACTCACCTGAAGCTACCAGAATTATATATTAAAAGTACAGGCAACCTCCCCCCCCCCCCCCCCCCCGCATTTAAGAACCTTTTTCTGCTGGGATAGCCCATACAGCACCTAAATTTTATGGTAAGGCATTGTTCACAGGGGTAGAGCCCCCATTTGTAACACTGCCAATATAAGAAATAACAATCTGAATAACAACTGTAAAAAGCTTACCCAGAATCAAGTGTGGTTAGTAAGGAAAGAGAGGGGGAAGAGGTCGCCTGTACACTGATCACAAAAATATGAGGATGTACTGTATGCTAAAATACTTCTACAAAGAGAGCTCAACTACTAAAATTGAGTTTATCATGAAAAATTTGACTATTGCAAAAGTGCAAAGTGTAACATGAAACCTTAGCTGAGGTCATGTGTGTCATTTTTTGGGATGAACTATGTATTACTAAAAAGATATAATGACTAAATGAAAGGTGCTGCCCACTCTCAGCCCAGTTATAATGGCAGATAAGCATACTAAACAAAAGAGAAATTAGGCTGCAGACACTTTACATAGCAGTGATATCCCAAACCATCATTACATCTTGTTACATCAACATGCACCACCCTGCACTTCTATTAGCTCCCACTCCAAAGAAACAAGCTGTATATTACATCACAATGAACTGCGTGCGTCACTACCTGCGAGAAGTTCACACAGAAGAAAATACATTTTTCCCCATTTATAAAGAACACAACTGAATGTCCATAAAACTAAAGCAGTAAGAGTAAACACAATTAAAAAAATTAAATCTTTAAATGCAGGGATATGAGATTAGATTAGAAGAGTCCCTGAAGATCCAAAGGCAATGCTAATGAAACAAAATGGAGAAAAATGCAAGTAGAGGAATTGACATTTAATCGGTAAAATTTGATTTCTTATTTCTTAAAGTGAATTAACCACTTAGTATATCTAGCTGTCAATTAAGTTATTCTTTCAATATGCCAAACCAGAGATTAAAACATTACAGTGTATCAAACATTAAAACCTCAACATCAAATCTCTATTTATAGAAAATTGACAAAATAATTCACCACCACCATACACTGATCATTTTCATTTTTTATTAACGTGAACTGCACTGGAGGGAGGCTATTTAAATAGGGTAGGGAGCTAGTCCAAACTCTGATCAGACTGGCTGCCTTGAATCTACATTACAATGACATTAGGCATCACAACCCTTATGGCCCTATCTTTGTTGTCTTGCACCCAAAAACATCTTTTATATTTTGGATTATATCCTTTATTACTCTGAAGTGGCACTCATCTTGTATGACTGAGCATGGTCATTTTATGAAACCTCATTAGTAAAGTTTCTATGAATTGTCAGTCTATTTAAAAAAAACTGCCTCTATGCTATTAAATGTTTAAAAAAATTATTAGCATAGAAGGTACGAAATACCAACAAGATGCAAACCAAAGACACTGCCTATGTTCTTCTGAGGATTAACTGTAAACTCCTAGCTGTATTCCAAAAGCAATCAGAAGGATATACAGCAGTCAGACAAGTGGATATTAACATGAACTTTAATATTCACCACACATCCCATCATAAAGGGATAAAGGAATTTTCTCTTTGCTAAATTCCCTGTTGCTCAGCAAACTCTTTGACTTGACTTTCAAAGTTGTTCACACACTCAGGTCACCTGCATCTCTGTTAGGGTCCTCACTCAGCCTATATACACTCATGTTTTTCATGTACGTCTTTCTAAGTCTTTAGAATTACTGCGCTTTAAATAGCCTAAGATATTTTAATGAAATCAGTAGTTTAATGATTACCAGGACTTATTTCGCTTTAAAACAAGTAATGTATTAAAATAAAAACCTCTTTTTATAATACTGTATTACCATTAAATAATCGATATAATGTACCACTTTTAAAGCTTTATTTAATTAATTAATAAGTATTAGGTTTTCCAAATTTTAATATACAGTGGATCCCCGCTTTACGATCAGCTCCCAATGCGACCAATTATGTAAGTGTATTTATGTAAGTGCGTTTGTACGTGTATGTTTGGGGGTTGAAATGGACTAATCTAATTCACAATATTCCTTATGGGAACAAATTCGTTCAGTAATGGCACCTGAACATACTTCTGGAATGAAATAATATCATAAACCGGGGGTCCACTGTACTTACCTATGTACTGTTTATTTTTCAGTACTAAAACACTGCTGCAATATGTTCCATGTGTGAAAAATTACCTGTTTTTAGTTAAAGGAGCAGAGCCAGACTGTATCATATTCAATATCTGATTTATGATAACCTATTTATTTAAAAAAATATTAGAAGACACTAATACAAACAGTACATCACTGTACTGATATTTAATTTCATACAATATTACTAGTGTGGATTCAAATTGTGCCCATTCCACAAGTTGTTTACAATCGTATTATTGAGATTCTATGAGTCATATTTCATGTCTTTTGATCTCCTTGAGCTATACCCAATACAATATGCATCTTTCCAACCTTGTTCACAATCTCTGGAGTTATTGTATCATTACTGAATTCAATCTCCCTGTTTCACATCTGAGCATCAGAACAAGAATAGAGCCAATCAAATACAGTACTGTATACTCACTCTCATATGAATGTACTGTATGTAAATTTTAAATTCATAAGCTTCTCAAAGGTATTCCATTTTGACTGCATCTGACCACTTAATTTTTGGTTTTCATTAGCTGATGATACCTGTCCAAAATAGACATACTCATTGACATGTCTCTGTTTTTAAATTGCTCATCCAAATGCTGAGTGGAAGATGGTAGACAACATTACTTAACTAGATATAGTAAATCCATGATTTAACAGACTAATGCAGGGGAGTGGGAGACTAGTAAAGAAGATTGTGATGGATGGAGGTGAAATATTTTGCTGTGACAGTAACAATAACAGACATTTCTGTGACCAGCAGACATTGTCCATTGTTTACAAATTAACTGAGCCAGCAGATTTTGTCCTGCATTTCCTAAGCCCACTTAAATGAGGGTTTACTACACCAGAGAGCTATTGGGGCTCTGTAAAAGTTAGCTTTGAGCCAAAAGAAACTAGAACCTACTAGAAACAAAAAATACACAAAACTTAATTCTTCCAAACAAAGAGGAATTAATCATACAACATACTGTACTTTGATCACAATTTCGCTGCAGTACGAACATAAGTCAATGCATACAGAACCTGAGAGATAACCAACATAAAGGGATGATTAAAAAATTTAACTTCCATGAGCAAGAGAATTAACTGGGACAAAATAAACAAAGAACCATCAGACATTCCCTAGGAATGTTTTTCCAGTGCATGGAAAGACATACTGTAAAAAAGAATACAAGGTCTGAATAAAATATGCTCTTATGAGACAGCTTACCAGATCAGGTATTAAAAGTGAACATAGAAGAATGAGAAGAAAAGAATTACTGAAAATACTGTGTATAACGAAGTAAAATGATCTACACTGGAAGATTATTGATATAAAGTAGAAACTAAAACATTCATACCAGACAGAAAAAAGCACAAAAGGAACAGAAAGCCATTTGCTAAATGGTAAAAAATCCTAAATATTTCTACACATGTACAAATTCCAAGCCAAAAAAACTTCCTCTAGAAATGACCTACTACACACAGAGGTTCAAACACTGATGACAAAATAGAAATGAGCAAAATTTTGAAAGACTGGTGTCAATCAATGTTCAGCAATTCACTAAACACCTGGGGCTGAGGATCCAGATAGTTTTCTCTTTACCTCTGCCCACCCTACTAATCATATATCTGACATAAGCACAAATCCCCTTGAATCTGCAAAGGAAACAAAAAACACATGAGGCAACAGGGCTTGATTCATGGAACGTGAGCAACATACTGTACCACTAGAATGAGCACTCAGTATTCTTTCGAGAATGGTCTTAGATAAAGGTGAAAACCTGAAGGCCTTGAAAAGTGCAGATATAGCTCCTATGCACAAAGGAGACAGAACTCTGGCAAAAATAAACAGACTAGAAGCACTAGTATCACATCATTAGTCTTTGAAAGTAAGTCAAACAGCAACTAAGAATTAGGAGGCAGAGTGGAACCTCAGTGTTTGAACTTGATTGGTTCCTAGGTGGTGTTCGAACTGCGAAAAGTTCAATGTCCGAAACAGTATTTCCAAGGCTTTATCAACCTCACACAATGAAGAATGTTGAACTGATTCCAAAGGTCTCTGAGAGTTAGGTCAGTGTCAGAGATCACTTCAAAGTACTTTTGAAACGGGGCTTTTGTGTAAAGTTTTTTACAATTGAATTTTAAACAAGCCGGCGTGCTCAGACTCCAGAAAAAACTTTCAAAAAACAGGTCAATTTTTTAACAGAACTGTTCGGACTCCAGCTCATTCGAACACCAAGGTTCCACTATAGTTGGGCTTGGCCCAAGGAAAGCAAGGGTTATCTTCAATTCCTTGGGATCTGGAGCCCTTCACCAGTATCAAGACAGCCCCCTTGAATAATTGCTGAGTATAGCTATTAACATGGCTTAATTAGAACCATCAGTACAACTACATGAACTTAGCTATACTCCTGTGTCTATGAATACATAATTACAAATATTTTTTGTCTTACTTTTTACTTCACACATGACAATACCTCAATGAGCTGCAAAAACCATTAATTATATAAATGACCCAATTTAAATCTTAAGCAAAGAAAAATATAAGACCTTTCAAAATTAAGTTACCTTAAATGTTAACACCTGTTATAAAAGCCTTCAAGCATATTACAAACATCAATCACACATTTGTTTCAAATTGGATCAGGCATCCAGAATGCAAGCTGATGCCTTGTCCATAACTGATGTTTAAATGTTATTTCACAAATCAAATATTGCAAAGTGATTATTTATATAAAATATAGAAAACAGTTCTGAACTTTTTTCAGAAACGATTTCAATCACTGATCATAATTACAAGCACACACACACCTATTAATTGTTACTTAAAACAAGAAAATATTTGAAAATCCTGCTGTTATACTCACATGGAACTAATGAAGTCAAACTTAGAGGAAACCAACTAACCTTTGAGTATGTTGCTCATCATTGGTGACGCGGGCATGTAAACATCTACAGGAACAGACAGGCAAGCGGTCAATAGTATAAATAAGCTCGCAACATAAATAAGGCAAGATGGGCAAGGGTGCAAGATTTCACATACATTACATCCACAAATCAGGAAAAATATGCCTGACTTTTATGTAGATCAAACTTGGAATATAGTTGCAGGACAGCTGAATCATGATGTAATCAGTAATTTGTTAATTATAATGCATATAGTGCTAAGCAAATTAGAAGCAACTGAAATAGTATATCATGCAAGCATTAGATATTCTGAGTAAACTAACTTCTTATTCAAATAGAAACATTAACCAGAATAGTCATTTTCAGATGCATCTTTCCATTATCTATTTAGCATTTTCAACTCTCTGGCTCCCTTAATTCATGGATAGCAGTAGCATACTTCTATACTTCTGTCCTGCTTGGATTCAAGTCTTCTTTCCCCATGCATTAAATATTTTACCCATTCCATGCATTTTATTTTGCACTTTGTGGGCTTTCATTTAAAAAACATGTGAAGTCTGCAGTACCTTGTAAAATATAATTCCATATCATGCAAATGTTGAAAAAAGTGATTACATTTTAAAGCAAGTATTGTCATCCTTAAAGACACCTCTACACACAAAGCAATGGGCAACTGGTTTTAATTTTCTACAAATTATTGAAAAACTTGAAAACATGATAACTGATGACATGTAAGCAAAATGGCAAAGTCCGTATTAGCTGCAATGAAAGTCAACTTGTGACTTTAGTACAGTATCTACACATGTCAGAATGAGGAGTGAACAACAAAATACCTACTAATGTGTATTTCTAACATTCAAGTGAGTTTCAATTTGTCAGTTGTAAGTCACAGTAGAAGCTTAGTTAATACTTTTTCTAAAGCAATCTTAATTGTGCTACTAATTACATTTTTTACATATGTAGATAGATGAAAAGTGAGAAACACTTGGACACAAAGTTATAACAAGTCATCACAACACAGCTGTGCAGGCACTTACATGAAATAGTGGTCTAGTTTCCACTTGAAAACTTTTATCTCTGTTCTAGCAATACAATATTTCTGATATCTGCTATTTACAGTATGAAAAGTCTTGAACCAAAGACATTGATGTAGTATCTCTAATTGTGTCTATGGCACTCCTGCTTTATTTATTCTGCACTTTCTCCCATATTTCTCACCCCAGTAAGGTAAGGCAGTGTGCAGATTGAAGACCAGACCCTCAAGTACCTTCCACATACTGTATTGTATAGCAAATACAAAGCATTGAGTGGAAGAAGAACCTATGTGCCACCACAGCCAAATTCTGGGTTAGTGACGAAACTGATTCCTTAATGTGCCATCTGTTTGTGGGAGTGTGCAGATATTGTCTTCTGCATCTGTAAGTTAGGCTCAGAGCCCCATGAAGTATGGCAACTTGAGCTTCATAGCTCAGATCTCCCTCACACCTGCATTTTTCTCCCTTGTTTGAATTTGCTTATTTTTTCTGTTGCAAAACCACTTCATTATTAGGTTTAATATCACTCTCTTCTCCATTCCAGAGAGTATATTTTAAGAGCTTGGAGGCATTCTGATTAGTTTAGACATTGATTCTAAGTTTGCAGTACACATGTGTATATTTTCAAGCCCTGCTATCTCTCCTGCCTTGGAAAGCACTACGAGCACTTAACAGCATACGAGTTGAAAGCACAAATGATTTGAAATGAACCATCGCAAGTATTGTTTTTCTTCGTTTGAAGATTCTCACAATTTATCCTATCATTTTTCTGTCATTTCCTGCCACATTGCTTTCCTATCTACCCTATCCAATGCCTTTTCTAAACCAACAGACAACTCCTTACTCTTGTCTAAGTACATGTACTGTAGACAAATGTTGCACACACAGCCTTTGCTTCCTAAGCCTCCATGGGTGCTTTGCATCCATAATTTTATCTCAACCCCTAACTCTCTTTATAATGATTCTACCATATACATTACCCAGTATACTCAACAGACTTGCCCTCTCTCATGTTTCCTTTTTCCCTTATACATGCCTTCTGCCAATTATGGGGTACCTTCAATTCTGTAATGTACATACTAGACAAATCAACCATTCCAAAACTACATCCTTACCTGCTATCGGTAACTCAATCTTAATCTTATCTATCCCAGCTGTTAAAACCCTTTATCAACCTACCCACTGCCTCTCCCACTTCATCCATCCTAACCTAACCTATATTTGAAGTTACCCAGGGTTTTTACCTTCAATGACCCTACTAGGCAGACTGTTCCACTCATCGACTACTCTCTTTCCAAACTAATACTTTCCTATATCCTTTTTAAATTGAAACTTATCCAATTTGAATCCATTATTTTGAGTTCTTTCTTGAAGGAATATCTTCAGAACCTTATTTGTATCTCCTTTTTTTATATCCATCTTCCACTTACACACTTCAATCATGTTCCCCCTCCTCATTCTTTCTCGTTCTCTCTCTTTCTCTAAACAACTTCTCACATGCCACTTTTATTCAAATCCACACAATTCTTTAATTTTAACATAAATATATATACCATCTCTCTCTTTTCACAATTATTCAAATAGTATTACAGTACTTCTACTCCTTTAGTTCTCATCCTCTCAGAAATACCCAACTTAATCCTACATACACCCACCCCCAACACTCCAACCTCTCTCAACTTTGTTTCATTCAGAGTTAATACAGTTTCCTTTAATTCAAAAACCTACATAAAGATATAGATAGAGATAGAGAGATATAGTAATAAGAGATAGTGTGAGTGTGAAAAAAAATAGAGAATGGATGGATAATCATTACCAGTGTACGTATTTTGATCAGAAGTAAATTTTATGGAGATGAAAAAAAGACGAAAGAATCCTAAGGAATAAGAGGATTTGGAGAGATGTTGAATGGGTTGTTGGATGTATGGAAAAGATGGAGATAACATTTTGAGGAGCTGTTTAAGGATGATGGTGAAAATGATGCAAGGGTGGTGGTGATTTCATCCATAGGGCAGGGTAAAGTAAGATCTGTTGGGAAGTGATAACAGCAAGAGGTGAGGGTGGAAGAAGTTAGTGAGGCAGTGAACAGGAAAAGCAGCAGGGATGTATGGGACAAAGCATAATATGCAAAAAACAGGTGGGTGTATCTGTTTAATATACTCTGTATATAATATATATGTATATGTGTATAATATACTCTGCATAAGACAGCAACCATTCTGGGAGGTACTACCGTCCTACCAAGTGAGCGTAAAAAGGAAGCCTGTATTTGTTTTACATGATGGTAGGATTGCTGGTGTCTTTTTTCTGCCTCATAAACATGCAAAATTTCAAGTACATCTTGCTACTTCTACTTACACTTAGGTCACACTACACATACACATACACGTTTATTTGATTTTATCTTAATAGTTCTTGTTCTTATTGCTTTTCCTTTCATATCCATGGGAAAGTGGAATTAGAATCTTTCCTCTGTAAGCCATGCATGTTGTAAAAGTCAACTAAAATTCTGAGAACAATGGGCTAGTAACCCCTTTTCCCATATAGCCTACCAAAAAGAAAAAGAAGAAAACTGTCAAAGAGGAAATGGTATGGTGATACTGACAAGATGTGAAAAAAGACACTTATGTACAGTTCAGGACATTTATTAAAGGAAACGTTTCGCCACGAGTGGCTTCTTCAGTCCTAAAGGATGTTATGAATGAGAAGAAGCTGGATGTCCTGGCTCTAAGTGAAAAAAAAAGCTGAAGGAGGAAGGAGAGTTTCATTGGAGAGAAATAAATGGGATTAGGTCAGGGGTTTCTAACAGAATTAGAGCTAGGAGGAGTAGCAATAATGTTGAAGGATAAGGAATAGCAGGAAAATAGGGAATATGAATGTATAAATTCAAGGATTATGTGGTGTAAAATATGGGTTGGATGTGAAAAGTGGGTTACAGTAAGCATTTATGCACCTGGAGAAGACAGAAGTGTAGAGGAGAGAGAGATTTTGGAAAATATTGAGTGAGTGGGGAGTTTCGACTAAGTGAGAGAATACTTGGGGTTGGGGATCTCAATGCTAGTGGGTAAAAATGTTGTGGAGGGAGTAGTAGGTAAATTTGGGATGCCAGGGGTAAATGAAAATGGGGAGCTTTTAATTGAGCTATGTGTAGAAAGAGGTTTGGTAATAAGTAATACATATTTTATGAAAAAGAGGATAAATAAGTATACAAGGCATGATGTAGCATGTAATGTAAGTAGTTTGTTAGATTATGTATAGGTGGATAAAAGGTTGATGGGTAGGCTTCAAGATGTACATGTTTATAGAGGGGCAACTGATATATATATTGGATCATTATTTAGTTGTAGCTACAGTTAGAGTAAGAGGTAGATGGGAAAAAAGAAAAACGGCAACAGCAAGTAAGAGAGAGGTGAACGTGTATAAACTAAGGGAGGAGGAAGGGTGAGATATAAACAACTATTGGCAGAAAGGTGGGATAGTGTAAGTATGAGTAGTGGGGAGGTTGAAGAGGGTTGGAATAGTTTTAAAAATGCAGTATTAGAATGTGGGGCAGAAGTTTGTGGCTATGGGAGGGTGGGTGCAGGAGGAAAGAGGAGTGATTGGTGGAATGATGAAGTAAAGGGTGTGATAAGAGAGAAAAAGGTAGCTTATGGAAGGTTTTTACAAAGCAGAAGTATTATAAGAGCAGAGTATATGGAGAGTAAAAGAAAGGTGAAGAGAGTGGTGAGAGAGTGCAAAAGGAGAGCAGATGATAGAGCAGGAGAGGCACTGTCAAGAAATTTTGCAGATAAGGAAAAATTTTGGAGTGAGATAAACAAGTTAAGAAAGCCTAGGGAAAGAATGGATTTGTCAGTTAAAAACAGAGTAGGGTGTTAGTTGATGGGGAGCTGGAGGTATTGGGTAGTTGGCGGGAATATTTTGAGGAACTTTTAAATGTTGACAAAGAAAGGGAGGGGTAATTTCATGCAATGGCCAGGGAGACATAACATCTTTTAGTGGTGAAGAAGAGCA